CGAATGCCAACATTTCGGGGTGCGATGGCAAACCCAGTTTCCAGCTGACGTCGCGCAGTTAGGGACCCCTGCCAACCCCCCATTTTCGTTGCTGGTTTAAGTCCTGGTCATTTGCTGTATGGACCAGGGGGTGTGAAGTGGAACGCCAAGGTGCTGGCTGGCTCTGCACCCTCGCCCGCCTCTGGCTTTGCCTTGACGCCGGGCACAGGTGGGGAAGGAAGAGAGAGTGCGGTGGATGCTGTGCAAGTTCACATTCACTAATTCATGCACAAGTCACCGTCCCTGCTCCACCTTGCTGTGGAGCACGTGGTGGACATCGTCGGCAACGACGGCCAGACTATATATATGCACTTTCTCCAAATATTTTGCCTATACAATTACACATGAGGCTACTTGTGTGTACTTCCTTGTAGGTGATATATCCTCAACTGTCAGAAAACTCTGTGCACTCCTCGGCTGGACGGAAGACTTGAACAACGTGATGCAAACCGCCGAAAAATCTCGGGTAATTACCTAGGAGAGTAACGTGTAGGATGTACTGACTTGATCTCCACCTTCATGCGCAGAACCACATATAGGAGCAATTTAACTGACTGTTTACTGCAATCTGTCTCTGTATATTCTACGTGGTGGTAGTGGTGGTGGTGGTCGCTCCACTAAAGTTGAGTTTGCAAAGGCGCTGGGCATGCTGGTCGACTGCAGTGTGCGGGATCAGTTTCTGCCACTTACATTTTATTGTCCTGCAAGGTTAACCTATGTGATTGTTGGTTGAGCTTCCGCGGCTGGCTTGAATAAATTTCCCAATTCATAGATATTTTGGCAGATTTTGAATAATTCATATTGACCCAACTGTGAAAAACTCGGCACCTCGGTAGGATTCGAAACCAAGCAGTAAGGGGAAGGCTTTAGTACACTAACCACTTGAGCTACGAGGCCCCGCCGGACGACGCGAGTTTAATCACATTTGGGTCAAATTTCTCCCGCTTAGTAGAAGCCGCCTCGCAACGGGACGGTAGCTGTTGCCCACGGGGGCACTGACAGTTCCCCACCATACGTGCCCCTACCGCCAGGGTATTTGAAGGAACTCGGATATTCAGGGTCACCTGAGTGAACGAAGTCACGCTTGCGGGAGGCAGGACTTGGACGATTTTTCTTTTCGACTGAGCGTCACATCCAACAGCTGTATGGACGGTGTGTGTTAACACATTAGGGCACTTTCTATCTCTTTTTCTTCTAATTGGGCTGCTTGAACATCCTAGACGACGACCGAGTCTCGCTATGGCCTACTGCCATGTCGTACTCTCTTTATGAGACGGATTTGTAGGGGATTAAGCGGCAATGATGACTTGCCCTTAAACTTATATTTGCGATGGCTTGCGCTGTGTTGACTTCATTCCCTTCTCAATCTCCGTCAGTTATGTTTTGCTAAATGAAGGCAACTTACTGCGCCAAAAGCCAATAGTTTAAGGCTGCTGTTATGCGTGTAATCATTTATTGGCGCGGTTCTACCCGCGACATCGATCGAGACCGGTCGATTAATTCGTAAACCACGCTTGAGAATAAAACAGATCGCCGCATAGACCGTCATGTACTTGCAGGGTTCGTCAGGACTGTCACCCCCAGATCCCACTTTGTCGTATGACTGACTTGAAGTGTAACCACGCTTGCCGCTCCTTAAGTTACCACTTTTCCCCCCGACAGGTGGACTACATAGGCTTTACTGAGAAAGAAGCCGAGAAATGCAATTCCAACCTACACCCCAGTGTAAAACTGAAGCTTTATCCCCCTGACGACCAAAAGCGCGACTATTCAACCTCAGCGGGGAGCGAGATGCGATCTGCCTCGGAGTTAGGCTGTTTCCCAGCCTCTCAGATGAAGCTGAGTACGGGATTTGTCCTGGACGAGGACACTGACTCGGATACGGCAACAGTAGCGACACCGAGGTCCACGCTGAGCACGCTCTTATCATCTTCTCTTCCAACCGTGCTCTCGGCAGAGCACTCAGTCGAAGGTGACAACCAAACGGCGGAGTCGACAGATGCAAAGTCCGACTTCAGCACCCACCGACGGCCCTACCCACTTAGCTCCAGGGGGCATTCCTTGCCGATACTTTCTGATTCTGACCTCTCCGAACCAAGTCCCTCCTTTCGCAGTAAATCTGACCATCCCTCCGACAGTAAT